TCGTATTGTCTTGGTGTTATGTATGAAGTAAATGTTGCAAAATGATCGTATTGTCTTGGTGTTATGTATGAAGTAAATGCTGCAAAATGATCGTATTGTCTTGGTGATATGTGTGAAGTAAATGTTGCAAAATGCTCGTATTGTCGGAATGAATGAATGAATGAATGAATGAATGAATGAATGAATGAATGAATGAATGAATGAATGAATGAATGAATGAATGGGCCATCACCCTCTCTAACTTGGTTATGAAACCCAATTTTTCGGGCTGCGTTAAACCTTACATTGTTAACTAATTATATATATATATACATTGAAAGTTTCGAAATCAACGAAAATATTTTAGTCAGTTTTTTTTACAAATTGAGTAGGTACGATCTACTTATAGATCCAGTTCGACAATTGAATAGTAAAACCGTTTGTATAAATTTAATTAAATGAGCCAAAATAAACAAGTGTCTAGACTTAACACACACTGACTCAAAGAAAGTCAGCCGGTAGACTGTGATTACTCTAAATGCAAGAAGTCACGCTAGTCACTGTTGGGTGTTGATAAATACGTGCCATCAGTTTGACGACAGATTCTATTTAATACCGGCTATTAATTGTAAATTAACACAATGTGGTACGCTGCATATATTGAACTGCCGAGCTGAGTCGCTGTAGCTTTCATCCTTCTCTTATCTATCCATTTCGTTATTATATTGAGAAGATGGCCCTCGTATATACATGACGTTTATTCTACACATGCAAAGCAGTTATTATAACCGGGTCGATGCGTAGAGTATGCTACGATTGTTGTTCGTGAAATCACTGGATACAAGGCTACTACAATAAACAAACCTAGTTTGTGTTGCTGGTAAAATATATTGTAACTATATGCTCTTGTATGCATTTGATTGTAAATGTTATGTTGTACTGTTAATTGACAACTACATATGTTTTGCTGCTATCATTATTGAATGGGCCAAATGAAAAAAATATTACATAACAATAGATGTTCTTCTCATAGTTTATTCGATACAACGATGGATCTCGATAAAATTACATGCATATTTGTTGTAAAAATAATATTTTAACATCGGATATTACGCTTCTTTAGACAGAATTTGACTTTGTGATACAAACTGACTAGTCGTGTAGTGTAATGTTTGTTGTAGTATGTTGTGTGTAGTATACACTGTGTTTTGTGTAGTATAAACAGTGCGACTGTGTGATTGTGGCAACAGTCATATGAAGGTAGTCGATGTCCCGCTGCCAGGTTAAGGAATTAATTAGGATGAATAAAACACATTACATTTACTTCCGTTTTGCCTGCGGTGTTTTGATACACCCCAATCCATCTGTATGTCTAGCAATTAGTGTGAACTTGAAATGCACTTTCACCTAGTACCAGTGTGATGTCCAGCCATTGTTTCCCTCTTACAGAATATGAAAAAGATTGGATAATTGTTCCCTGTTCTTATCTACTGCTAAATGAACGTACACTAAATACGGGGCAATCACACTGAAGTTGACGAACATCCAATTATTGCGGTTTACGCCTAATACTAAACAATGTTAGACGTATAAGTCTTATGAATTATATTATAATTGAGTGCAATTAATTAATTATTAAATTATTAATTGTAAATACATTTATAATAAATGTATATTGTCTTGGAAATGTACGCATCATATATTAAGTATTGGTTTTATATGTGCGCAAATGTGTCACATTCGGTTCTCACACTACTTGCGTACAAGCAGAAGTTCATGAAGATACTCCCTACTTTCCATCCCCCACACTGCTTACATTGTCGCAAAATACCATGCTGTAAAACCCAATCATTTGTACCTATTCCTAAACTTGGTTTCTAGGAATAATATCAGATTAACATTTAGAATGACTTTTAGCATTAATTATTGTGACAAGAAACGGATATTTGAAAGATGGGACAACAAGTTTAGCTGACTCTGATTGGATAATTGACTCTGACTGATTTACGTCATAATTTCGCTCAACCCTATAAAGCAATGTATGGTATTGTATTTATTTATACGGATTAATCCGTATCATTACGTCACTTTTGTTTTCGTATGAGAGATCAGAAGCGATTGTTATATCGTCTTACTGCTTATTTTATTTGTTGTATATTTGTATAAAATCTATATTTTTGGCCACGGGACTCTGACTGCATATACCTTAACAATAATATACCATTTCTCGTTCACTGCGAGATCCCGAGTTATGTGTGAAAACGGAATGCAAACACGAGACAAGCAAGGCTTCGTAGTGGCATCAAAACATCACACAGGATTCTACAACAACATAAGTATTTTGGGGATATTTTCACGATTAAAAAAGTGCAATACAGATTTGATGATGTTTAATTTTAATGATGAAGTAAGGATATGTATATATATATAAATCAACGCCATACCCCTCCCCCTTGACAGATCGGCATTGCCACACTGAGCTACAAAAAAAAAGATTTGTCAAAATCAAACTATTCCATGTTTGCGTTTGATCCGTATCTTTCTTGCAGTTGAAGATTTCATGATGTTTAATTTTAATGATGAAGTAAGAATATATATATAAATCAACGCCATACCCCCCCCCCCCTTGACAGATCGACATTGCCACACTGAGCTACAAAAAACAGATTTGTCAAAATCAAACTATTCTATGTTTGCGTTTGATCCGTATCTTTCTTGCAGTTGAAGATTTCATGATGTTTAATTTTAATGATGAAGTAAGAATATATATATATATATCAAGCCCATACCCCCCCTGAAAGATCAGCATTGCCACGCCGAGCTACAAAGAAGAACTCTCAAAATCAAACTACTAGTATTCAATTTTTGCGTTTGATCCGTTTCTTTCACGCAATACGCGTGATCTCGCAGTTAAAATAATTGTAAAACACTTGAATAATACAATTATCGCTAAATCCAATGTATTTTGTTACTCGTTTCTGATGGTACTAAAATCTGCCAGTTCTCCGCGTGATTTGAAATATATAACGTAACCTTGGTGACCTCTTGTACTATATATACATACACATACATACAGAGAGTATTATATTTCTGTATCTACATGATTAAATCAGATGACAACACTCTTATGCCATGCCGCTAATTATCAATAAAATAGATTTCTTTCTACTCGATGGTATTTCACTTTATTTACATTTGCTTAAACTCGTGTATATTACACACAAGTATGTATTAGATTACGTCACCATTTGAATATCAGATGCGTTATGGGTTATTAACCCCATACTGCTCGTGACCATTTATTATTTTAATATGTAATACAATATTATTCATTATTAATCTGCTACCTCCTTCATTGGAGCTTTGGAATGAAGTTTCTGTATACATATTTATTACAAATACTAGTAGACAATAGAGTACGATATATTCGTTTCTAAAATACAATTTATTTTATAATTTATTAAAGCACACTTGCCTAATGCAAAAGGTTGCGCGTGATGTAGCCGCTAGTAAAGTCGAATCAGAGAACTGAAGAACAATATCAGAACTTACAGAAGAATACGCGCATGCGCAGTTCCGATAATTTAGTCAGGGCATTTATGTGTTCTAGGATCATGCTGATAGAAATTAAAGGGCGGCAGTCGTCATGCCGCGTCTTGTTTGATATGGGACTCATAGCGACGTACTGTAAAGGGGGTAATTATTCATTGGGTTTTAATTTAGCTTATTTCGCTGACTGGAAAATGCGCTAAATTAAAACCCAGTGAATATGACTGAAATGGCAAATCAGTGAAATTTAAACCCAGTGAAAATTAGTCATTTTACAGTATACAACGCGTGTAAAATACATTGTTTATTTACATGAAATTCAAACACGCGCTGTGCGACGACCACCGCGCTTTAAATAAGATGACTTTAAGATCTGAATTCTGTCTATGCTGTATTAAAATATTGATATTATAATCTTTGAATGACGATTTCAAGTTCAAGATAATGAAGGTTTCAAGTTAGTATCAGCCAAACTGATAGATAACATATGAACACATGTTGAGTTTTACCATGGAGGTCTGTTTATACCTCCATGATATTACATACTCATGTGCTGACATAAAATAATAAAGTGACTTTATATGCATTATGTGAATTCAGTGAATGTTTTATATTGTTGAGATGTAACCAGTCAATTACTAAGTACAGCAATTACGTTATTAAAGTCTCATCTCTGTTCTAACTGCTTGATTACGCCTCCGTTTTGATGTTTAGATGCAGGTTCTTATATTTGTTTATCTGTATATTTTATGTTGAACTACTCGTATGACGATATAAGCGAATTGAAATAAACATGCTAAACAATGTAATGTATGTACATATCAATAAATAGTCGACACATTGCTTTGGGTCACGCTATTCAGCCATGTTGGATTCTATATTTGTTTCAAGTACAACCCACAATGCAATGCGCGTCTTAATGACGTCATACATGGAAAAGGTACAACAAGCGCCAAACGGCAACAATCGGTATTACAAACAGTACCCACCAATTTCTATCAACGTTATCGTCGCGTGACGTGCAAGACAGTCGAATTAATATGTAGATTTTTCAGTTGTTCTATGGTCTAACTTTTACCTCTCATATATGTTCGTAACGTATGATTTTGGTTATCCCGACAATAAACGAGCATGATTCATGGACTAAAACTTCACCGTTGATGATATACGTAAAATGGCGGAAAGTATGAGGAATATATCAAGACGTAGGCAAGATGAAGCGAAATGTGTCTTTCGCCTCAGCCTCAACTGTAAAATTTCCGGCGAACTTACTCATTAATGTCCATGCGTGTCACGCTGGAGCTCAATCCTTTGCATTGATAAGTAGTCAATGGCCGGCTCTACCGTTTTATGACCGGTTATGCCCCTCCCCTCCGATGTTCAGTTATCAAACGATCCTATAATCAGCTGCGTGCACCCGCAGTTATAAACGTTCATTACGTGTCACGTGATTCAATATATAATTCGTGTTTTATTTATGATTTCAGTTCTTGCATTGAGATGCCAACACTGTATTGAAAGCAATAATGACCAGGGATGTAACAATACACATTCCGTTGTCTGTACAACACAACAAGACGTATGCATGATAATGACCACGTGGATTGGTAAGTCACTTTTTACATCAACTACTGTTATTCGAAAATATAAACATGTGGTTGCTTTTCAAAATCAATTTATTTCTAGCACAATCCAAAATACTATAAATAAATAATAAAATTACAGTTTATTCATATATACACCTCCAACATAATTCACATTAACAGTATATTTACCCCTTCAATGAAAAATAAAATATCTACATATATATCTTACAATATAGATCACAATATCTGCATATATACCCATTCAATGTAAATAATAATATCTGTATAGATGCTTCTCCAAGTAAGATCACAATTCTGCATAGATAAAAAAATACAATATCCGCATATATACCTGTCCAATATAAATAACAGTATCTGCATATATACCTGTCCAATATAAATAACAATATCTGCATATATACCTGTCTAATAAAAATAACAGTATCTGCATATATACCTGTCCAATAAAAATAACAATATCTGCATATATAATAATAATAATTTATTTCTTTACCCATAATTGATACATATACAAATATTTACAAACACTGTTGTAATGAAAATCAGTCAGATCCCTGTTTAAAACCTGTCCAATAGTATAAACCACGACGTGATAAAACGCGTTAAAACTATCAATTTTACAAATTTGCTCTTAAAATAAATTATCATATAAACCAGTAAAATTACCAAGGCAGGTGTACTAAAATAAATCACCATTCATACAAACATACAATATTAATCCCATGTTCGTCTCGTATGGTAGACGCCTACTAATAAACAATCTTGCCGTAAATTGAAACTGACGTCTAGGCTTGAATTTAATATACACGAACTGAAACATTTAATATTATTATGGAATGGTGCGAGGGAGTAAAAGTAGGTTCAGAACATTTTTGGGTAACCAGACTTTTATGTTGTTAATAATTTTTGTCTCAGCTATTTACTATAGCTGAAGTAATTGCATTTAAGCTAACTAAACATATATAACATGTGGGTGTTCACATGCCATCTTCACTGTGAAATGTAGGTTTGAATATAAGCGCCCACGAACCCGGGTCTCATCCTCAAATGATTTTACAAACCACTACAACAACTTTTTAGCTCCGCTGTTGACTTTGTCGAGCGGAGCTTATCATATGAGTGATTGTCCGTCGTCGTCAGTCGTCGTCGTCCGTCGTCCGTGTCAATGTTTTCGACTTCTTCTTGAAAACTACAAGCCTGAATACTTGGTGTATATGTACCTTGGGTAGACCTCTCTTAGATTTGTTCATTTCATGATGATATCTTTAATTCTCTACTTTTGGTGAATATTTTTGTCATTTTTGGTAAAAAGTGATATTTTCGACTTCTTGTTAAAATCCGCAAGTCCAATTGCTTTGATATTACATATATAGGTACTACATGTGGTTCTAACCCAGATTTGTTCATTTCATGATGATATTTTCAATTCTCTTATTTTGATGAATATTTTTTTTTGTAATTTTTGGTAAAAGGTGATATTTTCCACTTCTTGTTAAAAACTGTAAGTCCGATTGCTTTGATACTATTCATATTGTTCATTTTCTAATGATGTCTTCAGTTCTTTAATTGAAATGTGCATTGCTAACAGCGGAGCTATCTCAACCGAGGGGCTGCTTGTTATATTTCATTTTAGTATGTTTAACTTCATTTGTATTGATGTTTCTCTAATTAAACAGCTTATTATGCAATAATAATTACATGTATTATTGTACATTTCAATATGTTCAAAATGACAAATAATTTTGCACAACATATTGATGTGACAGTCAGTACACCACTACGCAATTCTAGGATTAATAGTATTTCTTCTGACAAAGCTCCACATATCAGTATCAAAACACTAATAATATAGTATGCCATATCTCCATTTGTACGCTGATGACGTAGGGTGATCAGATAATATATGCGGGTTTTAAAAAGTGCTTGAAATGATTAACAGTGTGTTTTAAAATTACAACTTTTCCAATAATATTTTGCCAATTTTCTCAAAACAACAACAGCTTTAGTGACTGCACATAATAAATCGATGAACATTCTCAAGAAATTACTAACTCCATCACCAAATATTGAATAGGCTTCTGCTTTAATTACAGCCATGTATGTTATTTCAACTTTCACATCATGTAGTCCATTACGAAGACACGATCTTTATTTACCGTATCTATTTCACAGATACGCCAAACAGTATGCAACTTTCAAAGTCGTGTAGCCACACTGAAGAATGCAAAGGTTCCGAACAAAACAAATCACCCACGTGTTATCAGACACAAGATGGATGGGCATGTGTATTTTGTTGTCATGGAGATGATTGCAATAACGGAGGTGTCGGAGTGATACCCCGACCTCCCCCGATCCCACCCGTGCCTGAGCCTCTCATAGATCGTTTGGATGGTGATTGCGGTGACAATAGCCGCGCCTGCGCAGTTGCGTTAACGTGGTCTGGTAAGTGTTTATCTACCGGCGTCCAATCCCAGACAGTCATTCACTTTTGTTACTCGCATTCATGTACAGATGGTCACAATGCAGCCAAAATATGGATTATAGTTTTAAAAATCAAACAGTGGGAAGTATACAGTCAATATTAAGGTTTTTCGTTTCATGCCATATATACAAGTCACGTGAGTCTGTGTTATTTCGTGTACACCATATATTATGAAATTCACGTGATTCTGTTATTTCGTGTTAGCATTTATACCATAATCACGTGATTTTGTTTTATTTTGCAGAACCCGAAAGTTTGGTAACTATCAATAAGTTTTGCTCTCAGCCGAGTAATGATGTAATAACCGAGCATTTTGAATCGTCGTGTGACAAAGAAGATAGCCCTGATTTCTGCGTTTCTTGTTGCATATCGGAAATGAACTCCTGTTTGAGCAATGTGAACAGCGCCACCACCAGAGCTGTGGACATTTTCTTTCTTTTGTTTGTATCTGCATCTGCTTTAAGTCATGCCGTTTGACCCGGAGTAGTACAGGGTCACGTGTTCGTCCGCTGTGTGACATGCTGCCGTACGCATGACCAGTTACTAAAGTCATGGACAATTCTTACAACAAAGCATCAAAGTTTTTCACACAATTATATTAATGTGTTTTAGTTTAGTTTATATGAATCATAGAAAACAATGCCCTATTGTAGTAACTGGTGATAACAATCGCTTTCCTAGGCCACGTCACAGGGTACTAATGGTGACGTAATGATTTGTACTGATCTAGTATTCCTTTGTCGTAGATGGAGCTATTTACGATTAAAACACTTTTACCTATGCAATAATACACATTATTTGATAAAAACACTCGTTTCACGCCTACTAATCAGAGCAAATGGAACTGTTCTCAGAAACTGACTTTTCTCTTCTGGTAAAATTACCGGATGTCTGCCCTGAGAATACATAATCATAGAATATTCGTCAATACGAAGATACATCTAATCTGATAGCACGTTTCAATAACATGACTATGCCTGTGAGGGCGCCGCATTATTGTCAAGTTGAACAGCGCCAAAATATGTACAATCTTTGAAACGTTCGGAACAATCATCTATTCTTATGCAAATACATTAATTGATTCCAGATTAATGTTATCTTATTTGAGTGTTAAATATGTATATAGTGACGTAATCATTTTATTAGTGCACATTTCACAATTATGTGTTCTTCTTTCACATTTCAGTTGAGATATTGTGTGCGTTGTCATAGTTATGAGATTAACTTTTATTTATTCCCGAATAATAAAGTTATGTAATACTTAGCTTGTACCATTTATACAACCATGCATTGATACACAACTATTAGTTTACGTCATGGAAAAATGTAACCTATAGCAAATGTCGTTTTGTAGACAATCCTAGGTTAAAGGGCGGCAGTCGTCGTACCGCCGCGTCCTGTTCGATATGGGACCCATAGCGACGTATACAACGCGTATAAAATACATTGTTTATTTACATGAAATTCGAACACGCGCTGCGAGACGACCACTGCGCTTTAAAGGGAAGTGGTCGTCGCGCCACACATGCACAAGATATATAAACAAAGATGGCGACTTTGAAATGTTGCGCAGATCAACGAATACAAACTGAGACGTTACCAAGCTTTAATTAGATATTTTTTAGGTAATTGAAAGGTATCAAAGGAATCACTGGCAGTAGTTAGTGTAAGTCGCGCCCGGGTCAAAACTTATGCTTGTGTGCGCATTAAGTTGGATTATGAGTAAATCAATGTTTATCAACATAAATGTCGCACACGCGCGGCGCGACAACCACCGCCCATTTAAAGGGAAAGTAAGGGTAAAAGGGTCGTGATACGGTTAATCGTTTTGGGGAATAGGATAATCGCCGCGATGCTACAAATGTCCAGCCTTTAGTGATCACATGTATAATTGTCGACGGACAGTGTGTCAGTTTGGCTAGTTGCAATGTTCCCTTGTGACGAGGAAGGTCGTGTACAACGAATATGTAGGTAGAGAGCTGATATCCAATGTCACTCTGTGAACACTCGAGAAAGTATGTAACACTGGGAAGGATGACACTGAAAACAGAGACTGTATGCGAAATGAAGTCGTTTAATTTAATAATAAACTGTTAATGAACTTTATCAACAACGCCAAATTCCAGATATAGAAAGGTAAATATATGAATTTAATTACTAAGGTGTAATACTAATCAAATGTGGGGTAGTCATTAGAAAAGGAAGTTCATTTCGATGTCGTGCAGAGAGAATATTGAGAGAAAGTTGAGAGAATATGTTTTCGTGTAATTGTTCGATATATTTTAAGCTAGTTGCATGATATAATATGATTTTGAGTTGTACAGAAAAGTACACCAGATTATACATATGTAAGATTTGAGTTGCAGAAAAGCGTTGACGGTTAAACTGAGATTAAAATAAGTTTATGATTTATACACATATGTATATGTGGAATGAAGATTGAATGAGAGTAAATATATTTTCTATACAAAACATTAGAATGAGAGCTGATATTGTGAATGGAAAGGTCATAGAATAATTCCAATCACATAGTTACTTGGGTTACATTTATACAAATTCTCGGTAAAGTGAATGAACTCTCAGTGCAAAAAAGTTCAAACACTACGATCAATAAATTCCGTTTTTGACATCGTTAAATTTTTTCGTAATTACCGAATAAAATCATATTTATTATTCATAAATGAGTTGTTAAACACACTACATATTTTGTAATTTCATTCAGTTGCTTTCAAACGGAAATTATTATTGGTGTGCATATGGAATACATTTTTACCTTGCCCGTACCATCAAAGATGGAAGGGAAAGGTATATTAAGGGAAAGATTTTGTCCGGCGTTGTTGTTGTCGTTGTCGTCGTCGTTAATAATTGTTATTGTGTGCATAATAACTTTACTAATTCTATTCCAAACTTCATCAAACTTGGTCACCTTATTCATCAGTATAATGTCTTCCCTGAGTTTGAACAACAGATGTCCTGTATGAAAATATCATGCAAAAATTGAGAAAATCTGATAAAATATTTTGACTGTTTCTACTTGACTGATCACTGAT